TTGTTTTTTTTAATTTTTTTTTTAACATTTATTTATTTTTGAGACAGAGAGAGACAGAGCATGAACGGGGGAGGGTCAGAGAGAGGGAGACACAGAATCCGAAACAGGCTCCAGGCTCCGAGCCGTCAGCACAGAGCCCGACGCGGGGCTCGAACTCACGGACCGCGAGATCATGACCTGAGCCGAAGTCGGCCGCCCAACCGACTGAGCCACCCGGGCGCCCCTGTCCTGGCCCTCTTGTGATCTAAGCCTGACTGGCACCTGACACTACTTGCCAGAAGCACATTTCTTGCAGAACTCCCTGCGATATGTTGAAATTGCAGAACAGACCTCGGTAGTTCACGGTTTTAAGGGAACAAAAAAGAATGTAAGAATACATAGCCACTTTCAGGCCACGAGATAGCCTAATCATGTTTGGGACAATAAATCGATGGTAAAACCCCCAGTGCTGACTCCAAAGTGAAGCGTGGCCTGAAGCACATTCTTGAGTAATCTTTGCAGGATCTAAACCCCTTTGAGCACCCAGATCCCAGACCAAGTGAGGCCAGAGAATTGATGATGCTGACCCTTGCCGGCCCTCATGACTTCAACCAACTAAGACCCGGACTCGCCCACTTTAAGATGACTTTTGCCCCACTGCGCAAGACCCTTCATGAATATGTATGCACCCTTAGCTTAAAACTTCCCCAGTTTTATTGTTCCAGGAGACACTGCTTTGGGAAATATCCCGGGTGTTCCCCTTTACTCGTTGCAAGTAAAATCCTTCCTTTTCCTTTTCTCTTTTTGTTGTTTGTTTGTTTGTTTGTTTTTGGCTTGGTTGTGTCCTTTAGCTCAACACTTACCGAGGTGAACCCAGTTTGGGGTAACAAGATACCTCCCTGGAGACAGAGCTACCAGATGCCAAGCCCAGCGTTCAGAAGCCAAGATTCCAGAAACCTTGGGGTGCTGACCTCGAACCGCCCCCCTGCCAACCCCAGGGATGAACAGACCAAGCCGTCCCCCATACTCGGAGATGAACTGCTGGGCCCGTCCCTCTCCCCAGTCGGGGACGCCTGGCCCAGACCATTATCCCCCAAACATGAGCCAACGCCCTCCGGTCCCCCCCCCCCCCCCGCCTGGATCTGGAGATGAACATTCCAAGACTGACACCAATCCCGACGCGGGGATGCACAGCTCCTACCTCCAAAACCTGCAGAGGCACTACCGGAGTCAGTCCCCCCAAATCCAGCTCAAGCTCGCCCACCTCTTCCCAAGGAACGCCGGGCGAGCACCTCAACACTCCGCCCCGCCAAGAAGACTCTTTCATTGGCCACCATTCCCCCTTCCAACTCCTCCCATCTAGCAACAGGGCGCGATCACGACTATACACCCTCCACCCCTAGCGCCTCCGACCGGGGCGCGGTCCGGGCTGGACTCACCTCAGCGCCCCAAACAAGGTCGCCCACGGCGCCTGCCGGAGCCCATAACGCATGCGCAGGAAAGTCTGCGGACTACAATCCCCAGAAGCCCCTGCGCCGCAGCAGCCAGGAGGCCCGTGCCCCTGGTGGGGTCACCCGCACGCCAGTCATTTACCTAAAACGAAAATAACAACAATCGCAAGAGTGGTAAAATAACAGTGAAATGCTAGCAATAATGAAAACAAATCACTCTCCCCCCGTGATAATAAAGGAGAGGCAAGATTCTCTTACCACCTGGAAATGAGCACTTGTTCCCATTTTAGTGAAAATCCTTTACAGGTTCTTAACTCTGCAGACATACCCTTTAATTTTATAAACACGCAATTTTTCAATTAAAGTGTATTTAAATACCCTTTTCACGGCTTGTTTCCATCGAAGGGGACTCTGGAAGATCTTCCACACTTCAGAGCTGACATAGTCCTGTGATAGGTTTCTCCTCTGAAGCAGAAAGAATTAACAACCAGTGCCTTCTGTTTTTAATCAGGGGATAGCACGAGTCTGGGTGGGTGGTGGGTGGAGGTCTTATAAGAGGCCTATTTCTACAAATCACGAAGACACGGGAAGTTTTCAGATTCCCTTTGAGAAGTCTCCGCTCTTGGGACTTACTTTTTGCATTTTAAGATTCCTGTTAGAGAAAGTGTCTTTCTTTTTGTGTCATCATGGGGTAAGAAAATTGTAGGATTTCCCTAGAGGCCCACAATTCTCGCCTGGAGGAAAGCACCAAAACAAAACAAACCCCAAAACAAAACAAAACAAAACACAAAAACAAAAACAAAAAACGGGTGAGAACACATTCTCTCTTTGCTAGCTCTGGTCCTAGACATGGGAGATAATTGAAGACCCCCATCGCCATGCCTTGGCAGGAGCTGGAGAAATAATATCCAACTATCAACTGGCGTTGCAACTTAGGCACATAAAGAGAACAGCAAAATTCTTTTGGCCTATCCCTGTCTATTGATATCTTGACATTAGTTTCCTCATGATGAAAAAAAAAAAAAAAGTGCAATCTTCCAGGGCTGGGAGTCATCCTTAATTTTGGCAGATACTAAGTCTTTTTACTGGATAGAGGGGGATGTTTTCTTTAACGTGCTTCAGTAATATCTGCCATAAATATGTCAATTCTCCACGTTTGCATTAATTTATTCTGTAGCCTCTCCTTTTTTTTTTAACATATATTTTTTAACATTTATTTATTTTTGGGAGACAGAGAGTGAGAGGGGAAGGGGCAGAGAGAGAGAGAGAGACACAATCTGAAGCAGGCTGCAGGCTCTGAGCTGTCAGCAGAGAGCCCAGCGTGGGGCTGGAACTCACGGACCGCGAGATCATGACCTGAGCTGAAGTCGGACGCTCAACTGACTGAGCCACCCAGGCGCCCCTTAGCCTCTCCTTTTTGACCTCTCTCCTACTACATTCTCGATTGCCCACTCTGCTCCAACCACAGCGGGCTTAATGGTTGTATCCCCAGTGCTTGGACCCACAGTGCCTGACACATAGTACCTCTCGATTCATCAAATTTCAGTCAGAAGTAACAATTCAAGAGATAAAGCTGATACGCATGTACTCCTGATGGCCAAATTGCATGACACCGTGTTACACCGGGACCCTGGGGTCCAAGGCAACAACAGGCTTAGGTGTTTTCAGTGCTGTGAGCAACACAGCTGGATGCAGGAGATCTCCCAAGTGTGTGAATGTCTGACCTGCTATCCTATCACCTCATCCTAGTGGGTGCTGGTAGATTACCTCACCAAATTGGCATGCTTTCTTCTCCATCTGGTGATGGAATAATACTAGGCTGCGTTTTATACCTGAAATATTTATATTCAGGCTAACGACTGTTCTGAGGAACAGTTACACCTCGTCTGGACCCACAAAAGCTGCTTGGGGACAGGTAGCTTAAATCTCTGACTCTACCTTATAAAATGACCACATGTCAACCTGTTGCTAGGACACAGCCTTACTGTCACAATACACTTCATACTCTATACCAGACTCGCCTCCCCAACCAACCCACTTCCGTTAGAGCCAACTCGTTCAACATCATTCTTGGTATGCTACCGAGCATTCCATCGCTGACTCCACTCTGCAGATGGTGCTCTCACAACTCTCCAAACGCCCTGAAACTTGTATTAACCTTTCTACCATATGACATTCAAAGAATGACAACAGAGTAACACCTCACTTCACTTGCTGCTGCTGATTTTGCACGGAAAGCACCGCGCTTTTACACCCAACGCAAACCAATCCATAGCGGTTACAGCACTGCCCTTGACTCTCTTGTAGCCCTTGCTGCCACTGAAATACCAGCAGCCGATTGGCAGCTGGGTAAGCTGTAGGCAACCCAGTGGCATCTCAAGGCCAGCCTCCGGCAGGTAGAATGATCAGGGCACATCTACAAAAGTTGACTGTTGCCACAACCATTCCAACCGTGTGATTCTCCCACGCTTGTTAGTAGGTATGGTAGTTTCAAGACACGCCCACGAATTCTCTGGTCCTCCTTCCAGGAGGCCTACTGCCCCTTCCCATAAACTAGTGGCTCCGACGGAACAGAAGAAAGCAGAAGTGATGGCGATTTCAGGGTCAAAAAAGGCACTGTGGCTTCTTGCTTGCTCTCTCCCCTCTGCTCACTTGCTCTGAGGGAAATCTGTTGCTGCTCTCAGGCAGTCCTGTACAGAAGCCCATGCGGTGAGGATCTTAGACCTTCTTCAACAGCCACTGAGGAACTGAGGCCTCCTGTTCAAGGCTCTTTTGTGCCCAGAGCCATCTTGGAAGCAGATCCTTTAAGCCCTGGTCAGGCATTCAGAAGACTGTAGCTGCAGGCAGCATCTGACAGCCAGTTCCAGAACACTGGGGATGTGCTGCCCAGTTTCAAGAAGCTGAGGTCCTCCTTTGGAAAGCCAGTAAGCGAGTTGAACTTTTCGACCACAAACCTTGAAGGTCTGAGGTGTAGGAATGGCGTCTACACTGGCTCTTTGGCTCTAAAACCCACCCCACGATTGGAAGGAATCACCCTGCTGCTGTTCCATAAAATACTGGAGATTTTCTTCAAGCCCCCTTCTCTAAGCTAACCATTGCACTCTGCTCGACTCCCAGACATGCTAACTGTTCGCTTAGATAGAAGGTGCCCCTCGCCCACCTCCCTGACGTTCTTTGTCTAGTAGCCCAGGCAGCAGAGAGGAGCTCAGCCTGGACTGTGCCCCAGGTCTCCAGCCTCCCGGATGAAGAAGTCAGACTCCCGGGAATGCCCTCTGCGAAGCCAGGCTTGGGGGCTCACTGGTCCCAGAGGGTCAGGATGCAGACCGGAGCACCACAGCTCCTCCCGGTTCTCCAGATCACCTCGTTTCTGCCCAAGCCAAAAAAAAATTATGCAGCCTCTGAAAGTATCTAAATCACAAATTTCTCAGTTCATTTGTATACCTTATATTTGGTACTAGGTGCTAAGTAAACAGTAGAAAAAGCCAAAAAAAAGAAAAAAGAAAAAAAATTATAGAGGTTGTAACAGGGATCTTTGACCATAAGGCACTGTTCCACCAGACTCATTTTTTTAAAAAATAGCTTTACTATCATTATAAAACTGATATATACTCTTCGTGAAAAAGTAAAATGCATAAAAGTACATGAATGTATTACATACCCCGCATCCCACTTGCTAGAGATATGCAGTTATCATACTAACCTTTCACACTTTTTTCTTTTCTCTCTCTCTAAACATACACACACAAAAACATACCAACAAAATGGGAGTCATACTAAAAGTGTTCCACAACTCTCCTGACTCACAAAATAGTTTGTGGGCAACCTTCAATGCCACTGTAGGCACTGAATATTTTTAGTGGTTTTCGCTCATTTACATGTGCCTTTGTTATACTTGGAGTATTTTTTTTTTTTCTGCTATAGTAAGAAAACTCTAAGAAACTCAGCTGGAGGCATACATCTTTTCCCACATGTGCAACTATCTCTCAACTATCACTGACTACACCCTCACTGCCACTTCAAAGGTTATACAAATTGGACTCGATACACTGACAAATCCTTTCCAAAAAAAAGACTACTTCTTTTCACTCCTACCAGTATATTCACGAGTGCCTATTTCCACAGGTCCCACCGATGGTGGCTTTGGTGACTCTATGTTCTGTTCTGACAAGTTAAAGGGGTATTTCTGGGGTTTTTTTAATGCTCTAATATGTATCTTTAAAAACACGAGGAAACGAAACGAACAGGGCAGAAATATTCGTGACAGCAATAAATTAACCAATAAATTCAATGCAATGCCAGTCGGACTGTGTTTTTAAAACTTGATAAAATGCAATGGTCCTGCCATACAGCACGGCCTGTCTAGGAGAGCGGTGTATCTCTAGGAGATAAAACACATTCACCCCAGCATGATAAAAACATGATGGCGATACATCACTTGGAGATACACCTGCCAAGAGGCAGACTCTCTGTTCCCAGCCTTCTGAAAGTGACTTGCCCTCACCAATGTGAACATCATCTCTCCATTTTTGTAAAAACCATCTTCTAAAAGGTACGCACGATGTTGGTTTTAGTAAGGTGACGACTTTCTCCTACATTTGTCCCATGTGTAGGTACTCCCCCCCCCACCCTACACCCGCCCCCCAGCAAGGAATCCACGTTCACAGTCTGCTCCTCGGACACACTCCTATGTCATTCGTAAAAAGCTCCCTCCTGGGCCGACTCTGATGAGAGCGGCGATTTTTACCGAGGCCGCCGTACTTCAAGGACGGTCCTCTGGGGGACAGACCCTTGGAGAGCAAAGTTTGCGACGCAAGTGCTTTTCTCATCTGTCAACCTTCCGGATCGTCCCTTCCTGGGCAGGCCGACTGCTGTGACGGGTCACCCTCCACCGGAGCCCTCCCTGCGCATCCCGTTCGCAAGGCCTTCCTCCTGCGTCGGCGCTCAGACGGGCGTCAAGTTCTGAGTTCTGCCTCAGCGCGTGTCTGTTTCTCCGGTTTCTCGCCAGCGTGCGCTCGCTGATGATTCCGCAGCCCTGAGCTGTAACTGAAGCCCTTCCCGCACTCCCCGCACTTGTAGGGCTTCTCGCCGGTGTGGACCCTCTGGTGGACGTGAAGACAGGAGCTTCGCCCAAAGCCCTTCCCGCACTCCTCGCATCTGTAGGGCTTCTCGCCAGTGTGGACCCTCTGGTGGCCTTGAAGATGTGAGCTCTGACTGTAGCCCTTCCCACACACGTCGCATCTGTAGGGCTTCTCTCCGGTGTGCACCCTCTTGTGACTGAGGAGACCAGAGCCGTACCTGAAGCCCTTGCCACATTCGTAACACGTGTAGGGTTTCTCCCCCGTGTGCAGTCTCTGGTGGGTGCGAAGATTTGAGCCGTAACTGAAGCCCTTGCCACACTGATCACACGTGTACGGCTTCTTCCCCGTGTGGATCCGCTGATGTTTGTAGAGGCTTGACGTGCACCGGAAACCCTTCCCGCACGCTTCGCACTTGTAGGGCTTCTCGCCGGTGTGGACCCTCTGGTGGATGAGGAGCCCCGAGCTGTAACTGAAGCCTTTGCCGCACTCGGCACACTTGTAGGGTTTCTCGCCGGTGTGGGTCCTCTGGTGGATGAGGAGGTCGGAGCTGTAAATGAAGCCCTTCCCACACGCGTCGCACACGAACGGCCTCTCCCCCGTGTGGACCCTCTGGTGACTGTGAAGGTCCGAATTGCGCCGGAAGCCCTTCCCGCACTCGCCGCACTTGTAGGGCTTCTCCCCGGTGTGGACCCTCTGGTGGACGTGGAGGTCCGAGCTTCGGCCGAAGCCCTTCCCGCACTCGCACTTGTAGGGCTTCTCCCCCGTGTGCAGCCTCTGGTGCCGGAGCAGCCCCGAGCTGTAGCTGAAGCTCTTCCCGCACACGTCGCAGTCGAAGAGGCGCTGCCCCGTGTGAACCCGCTGGTGGGCCCGGAGGTACGAGTTGTAGCTGAAACCCTTGTCGCACTGGTCGCACCGGTAGGGCTTCTGCCCCGCGTGCGCCTTCTGGTGGCTGCTCGGGTGGGAGCCGCACGAGAAGCCCTTCCCGCACTCGGCGCCGCAGCCGAAGGGCTTCTCCCCCGGGTGCACGTGCCGGTGCTTGTGGAGCGCGGACTTGGCGTAGAAGCCCTTGCCGCACTCGCCACACGCGTAGGGCTTCTCGCCCGTGTGCAGCCGCCGGTGCACCTGCAGCACCGAGCTGTAGCTGAAGCCCTTCCCGCACTCGCCGCACTTGTAGGGCTTCTCCCCGGTGTGGACCCGCTGGTGGACGAGCAGGTTTGAGCTTCGACCGAAGGCCTTCCCGCACTCCTCACACGCGTAGGGCTTCTTTCCCGTGTGCACGCCCTGGTGGATGAGCAGAATCGACTGATACCGGAAGCCCTTCCCGCACACGTCGCATCGGTAGGGCATCTCCCCGGCGGGGGCCCGGGGCCGGCTGGGACCGCGCGCGTTCTGCCGGAGGCCCCGGGCGCGCTCGTTACCCTTGGAGGGTTTCTCGTCCGTGGGGGTCCTCTGGGGCCTCTCGAGGTGGGCGGTCTGCCTCAAGCCCGTACCACCCTCGGGAGATCTACGGGCTTTCTCTTTCCAGGGAGCTCTGGGCTGGGCGGGAAGGTGCAAGGCGCCCCTGAGGCCATCTCCGCGTTCGCTGCTTCTCAGGTCATCCTCTTCCGGGGCAGGGTGACGGAGGGTTGACTTTTTCAGGCCGTCTCTTCCACAGCGCTCGCGATCACACGGGCTCTCTCTTTCTGGTAACCTGTGGTCATCGTGACAACGTGATACCCAGCGGAAGCCGAAACCGTCCCACTCAGGTTTATACGTTGTACCCTGCGTGTCAAGTTTTTTACACCTTTCCAGAACATTCCACGACTCGTTCACAAAGGCTTTCATCCAAGATTCTTGAACGGATACCGGTCTTATAGCTTTCCAGGGTGGAAACGCTTGATTTTCCGAACTGATGGGTCCTTGAAGACCGCCGGCCAGATTGTCAATTTGCGAACCCCGAGGAGATGCTCCTTCCCACCCCGGGCAGGGAGAAGCGTCTTCCGAGAACTGGAAATCCTTCCCTTGAAGATTCACTCTACGGTCTTGACTCCCAGTTAATTCACCAGCCGCCTGTTCCCCGATTTTCCAGTAGGACAGCTCTCTGTAGGAAAGGCACTTAAGTTCCCTTTCTCGAATATACTCCAGATCCTTTTCATTCTTGTCTCCTGTGGGGTGAAAGACAGTTCAGAGATGAGAACAAGTACAAGAATGGCTCAGGGATCTCAAGCCAAGTCAGGCTTTCAGGCCCGGACCAGTAATGGCCTGGAGCAAAATCCACCTGTGTGTATCATAACTACCAAGGCACTTCTTTTGTATCTGGGGGGAAAAAAAAAAAAAAAAAAAAAAAAGAAGAGGTTCCTATTAATAAGCTTCGTAGCCAGACATTAAATGACCCTACTAGCAATGAACCGCATCTCATCTAGTTGCCCAAGCGAGAAAGAAATTCCAAACAGATTCCTACAGAGGAGATTCACTTCTCCGCTTAATGTTGTCGTTCATAACAATAATATCCAACATTATTACGATGCTTCCTACGGTGCTGACGATATACACCGATTAACTCACTTAACCCTCAGAATAACACTGAGGTGGGAACCCGTATCATTTTTGTTTAACGGATGAGGGATCCAGGGCACAGAGAGGGGGAGTGACCCAGTGAAGTCACTCCACCATGCGGTGCCGAAGGAGTGGGAAAGGAGTCAAACAGGGAAGTCCGGTTTCAGAGCCATACTGAGCACTGCCTCCCAGAGTGAATCTGTGAGCACGTGTGAGCTGAACTCGGGGGAGAAACAAAGCACCAAATCCTCCAAAGTGCACCAGCTGCGTCCCGGCTTCCAGAAGCGTATCGAGTAGGAATCCACATGATACTGACAGGGCACAGAGGCATAAACATGTTCAGCTTCTCTCTGTCACCAACTGCAAGCCATCAAGCCATCACGTTTACCACGTAGTTCAAGGTTAAAGAAATCTGCCCATGCTTTTTGACATTCCTTATTGGCGATTCTTATCATCATGGGCCAGAATAACACTAATCTGTTCATACCCGAGGACTTGTAGGATATTGGACACAAATGAGAAATCCATCGGTGGGCTCTCAATATGCTGGAAGAGTCTCTCTGCCACTGGCTTATCTTAATGCTGACCGGCTGTTTCTAGCAAAGGGAGGAAAGTCCAGGGACCCCTCAGTCACTCTGGACATGTTACTCTCTGAAAAGCATGAAGAATCCATGCGAAGGTGGGGACCGAGGAGCGGAAATGAGGTCGGAGAACAATCACCTACCAGAGTACAAGTGTCCACAGGCAAGATCAAGGTCAGAAGGGGCCTCCGCATGACAAGTTCACCCCACCCCTGCCTGCGTCAGACCCCAGGCTGCATGGTTCTTGCCCGGGCGTGCACCTCTCGGGAGTTTCTCTGTTACCCAAGTCTCTCTACCTTGTTCCATGGAGGTGCCTTATCAGGTTTGAAAGGTTGTCGCCCTGAAAATCCAAGGCTTAGGCTCATTTGTGAGGTGCAAAAAATGATCAAAAAAATGTAGTCCTGATCTTTCAAGTTCCCCGGGAACAAGAACATTCCAATCAAGGTAAGTGTGGATCACCCAGACATTCCCCTTACCCAGAGAGAGCAGGTTCTGGAAGTTCTCCAGCATCACATCTCGGTACAGCTTCCTCTGGGTGGGGTCTAGAAGCCTCAGCTCCTCCTCGGTGAAGACCACAGCCACGTCCGTGAAGGTCAATGGCTCCTAAAATGTGAGACACCATTAACACAAACACGTACCAGATGAAAGGCAAACTTGGTGTCACTAAGAAGGGTAGACAAGCACGCAGGCAGTTGCTCGGTCTGACGAGTCAAATCAAGTTTTGTTAATGTCTGATGCCAACAATGTCGGTTCTTACCAACTGATCTTCCGTGGTTATCCACAGAGCAAAGCAACAGACATTCTTCGCTCAGTGTGAGCACTTCAGAGGGCAATTCCATGGAGCTACAATGCTTCCATCATGTGGTCTGTCCATTTTACAATTTTTTTATAAGTTTTTAAAAAAAAAATGTTTAACATTTATTTCTGAGAGAGAGAGAGAGAGAGAGAGAGAAAGACAGAGCACAAGTAGAGGAAGGGCAGAAAGACAGGGAGACACAGACTCTGAAGCAGACTCGAGGCTCTGAGCTGTCAGCACAGAGCCCAACATGGGGCTCGAACCCGCAAACTGCGAGATCATGACCTGAGCCGAAGTTGGGACGCCCAACCGACTGAACCACCCAGGTGCCCCTCAAGTTTTTTTTTTTTTTTAAGTGTATTTATTCATTTTGAGAGAGACGGAGACAACACAAGTGGGGGAGGGGCAGAGAGCGAGGGAGAGAGAGAATCCCAAGCGGGTTCCATGCTGCTGGCGCAGAGCCTAATGAGGGGCTTGAACTCATGAAACCGTGAGACCCTGACCAGAGCCGAAACCAAGAGCTGGATGCTTAACTGACTGAGCCACCCAGGGGTGCCTTGACTCTCACTTACAGAATACCAACTTTTCCTCCAAAATGACTGTTTCAACAGTGCCTGATGTTAAGAGTGCCCACATCTGCACACACCTCCAGATCACCTCCTCGGTTCTTCACCCACCAGCCCCTCGCCCCTCCATCAGCAGTGGGGCAAATCCTGCTCTTTGCTGCCCCTGCCCCCCACCCCCTACACACACACACACACACCTTTTACGGGTTTCCACATCAGCACCTGTCAGAAGCAACCAACGGGTGTTTATGCGACCATGTCCCCAGCCAGAGGAGGCCTCTGAAGCAGCGGTGGAGTTTCACGTCATGCTGTGTCATCCTCAGTTGTGAACTGTGGCCCACGGCCTTCAAGCAAATTGCTCATACCACTGAGGAAGACAGCGGCAGTTGTAAACACAGTGAAACACAGTGATCAACTGTATCGTGATACTCGCCGTCCTTCTCGAGAGGGAGACAATTGCGTATGAGGGACTTCAGAATTCCACTTTGCCTGCAGCCTGTCCCAGGAATACCTGTAACAAGGTCTTACGAAGTACAACTTGAGCTGTGATTCTATACATAATTTAAAAAAGAAATTTTTTTTTATTATTTTTGAGAGACAGACAGACAGACAGACAGAGTGCAAGTGGGGGAGAGCAGAGAGAGAGGGAGACACAGAATCCGAGGCAGGCTCCGATTTCTGAGCTGTCAGCACAGAGCCCAATGTGGGGCTTGAACTCACGAACTGTGAGATCATGACCTGAGCCAAAGTCAGAGGCTTAATTGACTGAGCCAGGCACCCAGGTGCCCGTATACATATTTAACTTAAAAAAAAAAAAAAAAAAATTCATGGGTTCATTTTTAAGAAGGAAGGCAAAGTAGCTTTAGTAGTAAGTTTTCCTTTTTTTTTTTTTTTTCAGTTTATTTATTTATTTTGAGAAAAAGAGACAGAGAGAGAACAGGGGAAGGGCAGAGAGAGGTGGGGCGGGGGGAGAGAGAATCCCAAGCAGGTTCCATGCCAGCAGTATGGAGCCCGATGGGGGCTCGAACCCACGAAACCATGACATCATGACCTGAGCTGAAGTCAGACACTTAAGTGAGCCATCCAGGTGCCCCCATAGTAAGGTTTAATGCATGCATGTCTATATATGACTCATTCCATAAATGTTCAGTACCTATAAAACAGTATTAGACACAGGAATTCCAGAGATAAGGAAGAATATAACAGCCCTGCCTCTGTGGGGCTTGTGCCCACAGTCCCCGAGATCCCTTCCAAGTTCTATGATTCGCTAGAAGGACTCACAGGACTCAGTACATAGTCATACTCACAGCTTGCACTTAGTATGGTTAAAAAACAAAGCAAAATCATGGGGCACGTGGGTGGCTCAGCGGGCTAAGCATCCGACTCGGCTCAGGTCACGATCTCACAGTCTGTGGGTTCGAGCCCCATGCGGGGCTCTGTGCTGACGGCTCAGAGCCCGGAGCTGGCATCAGATTCTTGTCTTCTTCTCTCTTTGCCCCTCCCCCACTTGTTCATTTTCTCTCTCTCTCTCTCTCTCAAAAATAAGTAAATAAATCACTTTAAAAAAATCAGCTGAGGGAAAGAGCATGTGGAGTGAAGTCTGGAGGAAGCAGGGTGCAACCGGGTGTGTTCTGTGACAAATCTCAGCCACGCATAGAACTACACACTGGACCCCATGGGTCCTGGCAGATCTCTGAACATGGGCGTGGTCTCGGGGAGCCCTGAACCAGGAGGTGAAGGAACTTGGCCATGGTTACACAGCTAGTAAGAGACAGGGTTTGAGTTCAAACTACAACATGAGCACACAGAGTCTAGTTCCAGAGCCACTGTACTTTAACAACTGTCCTATACGGGCCAACCTGTGTGTTACCAGGGGGCCAGAAGTGCGTGTATAAAGCAGATAATTTGCAGAAAAATCACTGTAAGGCAGGCTCTAGCCTACGTATCTTTACGTGGTTTATCTAATTTAACCCGGATATTATGGTATTTGCAGAATACCATACTTTGCAGAAAAATCACTGTAAGGCAGGCTCTAGCCTACGTATCTTTACGTGGTTTATCTAATTTAACCCGGATATTATGGTATTTGCAGAATACCATATTTTTGCAGAAAAATCACTGTAAGGCAGGCTGATATTTGCAGAAAGTATTTGCAGAAAAATCTGATATTTGCAGAAAAATCACTGTAAGGCAGGCTCTAGCCTACGTATCTTTACGTGGTTTATCTCACTGAACCCTCACAAAACTCACAGAAAGCGAGAACTTTCTGGAGCACCAGGAATGCTCTCTGGTCTGCTCTCTTACCGGTAACTGCTCACAAGGTAGTTACTGTTGCTATCTCCATTTCACCGATGAGAAAACGGGTCTCAGAAAGCGAATGCTACGTGTCGAACAACATACGCTTCGGAAGCCTGAGTCGGGACTGGACTCGGGCAGCCCAAGTAACGACGCTGAAACCACCCAGCCCTACCGCCGCCCAAATGAGATGGGAGGCGCCAGACCAGAGGAACCCACCTCCCCACTCGGGAGGGAGAGCGCCACCAACACAGCACATTTCCGAGCAGAATCCCAGCTCGATCCCAAGACCAGAGGCAGCGTCACAGGGGAGAAACGTCGGGCCAGAGGCAGCCGATGTGACAATTTCACAGTTGTGGCCCTGCCGCTAACTCCCGAATCTTTACAACCAGTCCTGCCTTCTGCACTGAGCCCTGCCTACTCCGCCTGCCGCCTGGATGCCTAAAAGGTATCGCGAAGCAAAAACAGCCCAACTGGAAGGGAGTCTTTCCTCCCAAATAGTTCCCTTCTCGTCTCTCTGACGTGGGCAAATGCAAGTACCATCTGCCTTAAAGGCATCGCCTGGATTCTTTCCTTTTCTTCATTTCTTACATCTGATTCATTAAAAAAAAAAAAAAAAAAAAATTCATGGGGCGCCTGGGTGGCTCAGTCAGTTAAGTGTCTGACTCTTGATTTCAGCTCAGGTCACAATAGCACGGTTCGTGAGTTCGAGCCCCGCGTCAGCCTCTGTGCTGGCGACACGAAGCCTGCTTGGGATTGTCTCTCTCTCCTCTCTTTCTCTCTCAAAATAAATAAAGATAAACTTAAAAAAAATTCTGCCACTTACTATTCCAAAGTATACTTCAAGCTTCTCCCTGTAACTACTTCTACCTCTCTAATGTGACTCGTCATCGTCCTCCGCTTGGATGATCGCACAGACCTCCTCCCAGTTCATCCTGCCTACGTCCCTCAAGATACATCAGAGCCCTCATCTTGTGTTTAACCCGTTACTACCGGTCTCCCCCTTCTAGAAGGCCAGCCCCGTGAAGGCAGGGGTGTTATCCGTTTTGCTCTCTGATGTATCACCAGGGCTTAGAATGATGTTTGGCCCATAGTAGGTGTGCAACAAACGTTTGCTGAACGAAGAGAGGAAGACTAACTCTTGAACTTCAGAGGCACATGCTCAATATAAATAGTAAAACAACACAGAGACATACAACTCAGTAGAGCAGAGTACAGTATACAGGAATGGTCACGTCCTACAAAAGCTAAGCCAACTATCATTTTTCTTTCTCTTTCTCCACATATATAACGCACACACCTACTTTTTTTTTTTTAACTTTTTTACTGTTTGTTTATTTTGAGAGAGAGAGAAAGCACACGAGCAGGGGAGAAAGAGAGAGCACACAAGCAGGCAGAGAGAAAGAATCTGACGCAGGGCAGAGCCTGACATGGGGTTCAAACTCACAAACTGTGAGATAATGACCTCAACGGAAATCAAGAGTCAGACGCTTAACCAACTGAGCCACCCAGGCACCCCCATATACACCTATTAAATATATACATGTTTATATACATATATGTATACACAAACATATACAAAAATATATAAATGATAAAGTCAGCATTTCAGTTGACCTACAGATGAATGATTAATAAATGGCACTGTCCTGACTGGCTATCCATCTTGAAGAAAATGACATTAAATGTCAACCTTAGGCCACTTACAAAAACCAGTTATAATCATTTTAGAGATTAAAACGTTTTTAATCTAAATAAAAACCCGTTTAGGTGCCTTTTTTTTTTAATTAAAAAAATTGTTTTTTTAACGTTTAATTTTGAGAGACAGAGACAGCGTGTGAGCTGGGGAGGCGGCAGAGAGAGGGAGACACAGAATCTAAAGCAGGCTCCAGGCTCCGAGCTGCCAGCACAGAGCCTGACATGGGGCTCGAACCTACAAGCCACAAGATCATGACCTTAGCTGAAGTCAGACGCTTAACCGACTGAGCCACCCAGACGCCCCCATTTAGGTGCCTTTCTGATTAAGCTTAGAATGGGTAAGGCCTTTTGCAGCTAGGTATGGAGCCATATTTTCAAAAGGGAACTAACAAATCATTTAACTGTGTACAAATTTTACACTTCTTTATGGTCAACTCACCATTCAGAAAGTAAAAATTGAGAGAAAGTAAGTTTAACACTTTTGATGGGCAAGCCTACCCTTGAAAGAGCTCCTGTCATTAATGAAAAATGGACAAAAGCATTTCATAAGCAATTTATAGGTGACAAACTACAGCAGCAAATATATATATGAAAGATGCTTATCATGCACCTACTGTGTGAGGAACTACAAAATACATAGGTCTTGGCCACATACCCTCCTCCATCAGATTAGCAAAAATGTTTAGTACTGATATATAGCCTGGGGGGGGAAACTTGCCAAAAAGAAAATTAATCAGAATTTTTAGAAGCGTGACCAAAAAAACCCACTCCTACGATTAGGGGAAAATAACACCTCAAGAGACGAGCCAACCAGCAGAATGAACATCACTGAAGCACAAGCCGGTGAACTGGAAAACAGAGCAGCCTCCTGGAAGGTGACAGAAAATTCCGAAGGAGAGAAGTTTAAGAACAGGGAAGACAGATCTGGAAGTTACACCTTCAGTAATGGGAGTTCCGGCAGGACCACATGCATAAAATGACAGTAACGGCAGACAGACATCCAGGCAGAGAGAGAATTAACACCAGAAGATGGCAGAGCAAAGGCAATAAACGTGTGATCCTTGAAAATGACGCTCGGCCAAGATGCCATGTATAAACGCAACAGGCCTTTCTGAGAAAAAGCGCTCAACTAACCGATAAATAAGCATAAGCTTTGCTCACCAGAAGGTGAACGGAGAAGGGAGAGAAAGACCAGCATGAGACTTAACGCCAGTTCCGAAAGTATGAATGAAGACTCTTCAGCTTCGCCAACGTGCCATCCGCAAATTCCGTTCGCCTAAAGGCACAGACATTGTTCAGCACAGAAACGGTCAGCGGAGACAGCATCCGCAAGTCTTCTTTGGGAAAAGCAAATCGTGCAATGACGCTGAGCCAGCCAACAGGCAAGTCAGTGACGCCAGGACTACAGAAACCAGAGACAGGTGGCGGACAATGACCGCTACGGAGGAACTGACACAAGCTCACTGTGGGAATCGGTGGTGACAACCGTCAGAAGGTGATGACGGTAACGACAGGATCATACCAGGAGCTGGTGGGAAGTAGAACCGTGTTAATTTCTTCAGCCCTCGTGGCGGCAAGTTCCCCAACAACATTTACAATTAGAGTGTACAGTAAGGAAGTAACTCAAACCTTCCGAATTTCTCCATAACGTCTTTTCGTAAAAAAAGGAAGCTTTGTAAAATAATTTTGCACGCGCCGAAAAGAGCACGTACTTAAAATTTTGCAAACTTTGATTTCTTTTTCTTGCAACCTAAAGGAAAAATGAGTTAACACATATGCACAGATCTACGGTGTGTGTGTATGTGAGAGAGAGAGCGAGCGCGTCTTTTCCTGTCCTGATATTTTCATCCGCTTGTGACCACATTTGACAGCGGCACAGGACCTGGACGTGAGAAGAAACAAAATGATAACAGTCCATCAATCCAACATCAATCCAATGGACGGACATGGAGTCCACCCCACGGTTTTTTCTCTTTTTTTGCTGTTACAAACAACGTTGCAATGATCAGTCTTTGAATACTCGCTCTGATTTGGAATGAATTCTTAAGAGTAGGAAATATTGGAGCAGACGTGTGCAGAACTTCCAAGAAGACTAAAAATGCCCCTTTCAATGGTGTGAACGCACCATCTCTCCATCTGGCTAACAGTGAGAGCTGACCTTTCAAATCTTTGATCTGCTAGAAAAGAAAAAAAAATCAGTATCTCATTTCAATCTGTATCACTTTATTTTTTTTGTTAATGTTTTGGTTTATTTTTGAGAGACAGAGCATGAGTGGGGGAGGGGCAGAGAGAGAGAGAGAGAGAGAGAGAGAGAGAGAGAGAATTTGAAGCAGGCTCCAGGTTTTGAGCCGTCAGCACAGAGTCGGATGTGGGGCTCGAACTCATGAACCGTTGAGATCATGACCTGAGCCAAAGTCAGACACTCAACTGACTAAGCCACCCAGGCACCCCTGTATTACTTTAATAGAAGCTGATCGGACTTTTCATATAATTGTTGGCCATTTGTACTTCTGTTTTTCTCCCTTCCTGAACAAGAATGCTTGGGTCTTTGAACCCCTCTGTCAAAAATAAAGACATTAGAATTTCTAATTTTGTCGTAGACGAAATGTTTTTTCCCCTAATGTGCTCTTTTAGCCTTGTTCATGGGGTACTTTTTGTAGGGTGTATTCACCTGGACAAAAGGACACCTGGAAAGGAATCAGAGAAATGTCCCACAGAGGAGATAAACTCAGGCAGAGAAGGATTCATTTGTAATTATTCACCCAATACACTGTTTCCTCGACTCCCTTTTACCAAGGGAGGGAGATATTTTTACACCCCGATGCCTGACGTGTGGTTTCTGGAAAGAAAAGCGATCTCAACCCACCTGAAACTGTCCTGTCCTCCCCATCCTGGGGAAGGGCTGAGGCTTGAGAACGGAGAGCTGCGGGAGGAGAAGGAAGGCTACGAGGAGATGTGGCCCCTGCCTGTGTTTGCTGACTCTCCACCTGGACCTCAGCAACGTCTGCTGCGTCACAAACTCCTTTCTTCTCTCTCCACACCCGGCTCGATTCTCCCCCACTGCACCCCCTTCATGAACTCTCAACCTCTCTCCCTAGGCCTTGAGGTCAAAGTCTCCATGGTTACCTCTCCCAGCTTTTCCCAGAGCAGCAGCACTTTTATGTATCCTCTGATCTTCCTAGGCCAGAGAAGCAGAAGATCTGGGCCTTCTTCATTCTTGAGGTTCTCCAAGCTCTGACAAGGAATGTCAGATGGCTACCTGGGCTCAGAAGGACCTGCCTTCCCCTGCATGCTCCCCAGCCTGGGTGGTTCCCGCACTCCGGGGACCTGTGGGCTCAAGAGGGAACCTGACTTTATGGAGCCCTTTCTTCTGGGCCCCAAAGCTCTGGGTCTCCAGAACGGTTCACACCCTGCAGCCATCATTCATTCAGCGGACACTGACTGAGTCGCTGTATGCATAGTCCCTGCTCTGGAGAGACTCACCGTCCACAGAGCCAAGGATGCTGCAGGTGGCTGGGGACAATCTGAGAGGTTTCTGTGGGGAGGGCTGAGCAGAAATGTCACAGGGAGACACAGGGCCCTACAGAAGGGTGCAAACGCCACAAACACAGGACACCTGTGTTCTGTGAAAGACAATCTGGAGTGTGAAAGCTTTGCTAATGCAACACTGCAGGCCTCACAGAAGAAATGATGAAAAATCCCTGTCGTCGGGGAGCCTGGCGGGCTCAGTCGAAGAGCACGAGACTCTTGATCTCAGGGTTGTGAGTTTGAGCCCCACACTAGGTGGAGAGATTACAAAAGAAAGAAAGAAAGAAAGAAAGAAAGAAAGAAAAGAAAAAAAGAAAAAGAAGAAAAAATCCCTGTCCTCGAGGGTTCTATCAATCAAGATACAGGTTAGCAAAGATCTTCTAAATCAGAGTTTGTAACCTTTTCTGTTCAATGGCCTCCTTTGTCAGTCTGGTGATACTTATGGGTTCTTACTCGGAATGATGTTGTGAAAGCATAAAATAAAACACACAGGGTTACTTTAAAGGCTAATTATACCGGAATACAATGTTCAAAAATAATAAAACACCAAGGATGTGCTTCTTTTTACACATTAAATATCAAGAATGAATCAACTGCTGGAATTTCCAAAAAGTAATGAGCATAAGTAATATTCTGAAACATCTACACCAACTACAATATAAAAACGTCTATGATTTACCTGAATAACAGAGTCACGGGTTCTGATAATACTACTGTGGTCTGTCACCTGCATTCATAATCAAAGGAAATACTAACTTCCAGTATGACTGGTGCACATTTTTTTTTTCCCCACTCGGGTTCATGATCACCCTGCATTATGCCCACGGACTTGCGTTCAAGAACCCCTTCCGTAAGGGAGTCCTTCTGCCACCACCAGATTGAATTAGTCACCCCGGGACCCCAGAACCATTTTGTAGAAACTGCTGGCTCACCACCTTTCCACCTTTCATGCAGCTGCCCTGTTAAGACCTCTAAGTCATCAAGAGAATGGGGTCCTCTACCTTCATTCGTGGTCTCCATTTTGCACGGGGTTGGCACACTGGACACGCTTAGCAAATTTCATCAGTGGGGTGTGGAGCACAGAGATGAACAGAACTCTCGGCACGGGCCCGGAGCTAGCCAGTAGGCAGCAGAAACACACTGACCATAAGCTCCTTCCTTTTGCCTCTTTGCCTGATCTCCTTTCTCTTGAGACTCGAGCCACAGGGCAGGTTCATAGGAACGTACGCACCCTTAGGGTGCCTGCTCTAAGATACTCCCTGTACTGTACTGAGTCAGGAGCTCATGTCTCCACCTTGAGCTAGCCGTCGGTCCCAGGCCATCGGTCCCAGGCCTCTGCACAGCCCGCTCTGGCAAGCGCCTCCCTGTCTCCCACAGTTTGTGCACTGCCCTGCCCCAGGGATTGTCCTCTAAAGCAAGTGTGGGGAGGTGCCTGGGTGGCTCGGTCAGTTAAGCGTCAGACTTCAGCTCTCAGGTCATGATCTCACGGTTCGTGGGTTCGAGCCCCACGTCGGGCTCTGTGCTGACAGCTCAAAGCCTGGGGCCTGCTTCGGATTCTGTGTCTCCCTCTCTCTCTGCCCCGCCTCCACTCATACTCTGTCTCTCTCGCTCCCCAAAACAATAAAATACCAATACAAATACAAATAAAGTTAGGTCACTCCTCCGGCCAAGAACTTCACCTCACTCAAAACCTCCGCCAAAGGCCTTTCAAAAGGCTTAAAGACCCTACGCTATCTGACCTCCCAATACCCAATTTCCTACCGATCCTTCCTCTTTCTCACTCTGCTCACCCTCTCTGGCCTCCACACTTCTTCAAATGGACCCTGCCTTCAATGCTGTTCCCTTTCCCCAGCGTCCACAGGCCTCTCTCTTCCTTTGGATCCCTACTCACCTACTCACCACCTGGTCAGTGAAATCATCCCTGGTTATCCCACACAATTGCAAGTCCCTCTGCCAGTCCTCCCAATGCATCTTCCCTGCTTCGTTGTCCTCTGTGAAGCTTAGCTAACCTACCATTTTTCTTGTTTACTATCTTCCTGTACCCATGAGAGTATGAACTCTGTGAGGGCTGGGGTTTTAGTCAGCTCCAAGCAACAGGGTGAGCACTCAACACATATTTAAATTTTTTTTTTTTCAACGTTTATTTATTTTTGGGACAGAGAGAGACAGAGCATGAACGGGCGAGGGGCAGAGAGAGAGGGAGACACAGAATCGGAAACAGGCTCCAGGCTCTGAGCCATCAGCCCAGAGCCCGACGCGGGGCTCGAACTCACGGACTGCGAGATCGTGACCTGGCTGAAGTCGGACGCTCAACCGACTGCGCCACCCAGGCGCCCCTCAACACATATTTAAATGGGAGAATGGGGGGTGGGGGGAGCCTAGGTGGCTCAGCCGGTTAAGCGTCAGATGTCAGCTCAGGTCATGATATCACGGTTTGAGTTCGAGCCCCGTGTTGGGCTCTGTGCTGACATCTCAGAGCCTGGAGCCTGCTTCTGATTCTGTATCGCCCTCTCTCTCTGCCCCTCCCCTGCTCACGCTCTGTCTCTCTCTCTCAAAAATAAGCAAACATTAAAAAAAAATTTTTTTTAATGAAATCAATGGGAGAATGGGACTAATGCGAACTCAACCTGCTGATACTTGGATCCTGGTTCTTTTGAGACCAGCTACAGAGCGGAATGGTTTTGTTCTGCAGTTTGTTCGCTTAATCAATTACATGCAAAGGACCGTGCAGGGCACGCTGGGACACGATGGTGATCAGGGCAGGCAAGGACTCTGCGCGCGAACAGCTAACATTCTAGCCGGGAAGACAGCACACATTCACTTAAGTTCTACTTTTATGTCAGGTGCTTAGGTTTAAGGAAAGATACACTCCTTCACCATATGGAGCTCACACTGGACAAAGAGAACGACCAATACAACTGGCGCCAAAGGCACTGGGATAAAGGGGTAATGGGACTAAGGGATGCTGCAAAGGTAGAAATGACAGGACTAGACGAATAATTACACGTGAGGGTGAAAAGGAGAAGTCAAATATGAGTCTGGAGTTGAAGTTTAAAGAAAACAGGTAAATTATGGCGTTTTAATCCAGCCAGCAAGACGAGAGGCAGGGGTGGGAAGTTGCTGGTCTTGACTCTTAACCCCGAGGTTGTCACACGGCCTGAGTCTAAGTTCTGGCTCAGCCACTCTGCAGCTGCGTTAACACCAGAAGCGAGAGAAATCTCTGAATGAGCCTGTTCTTTCTGCTGTTAAGTGAAGACAGTACTTCTCACTCACAGAGCTGACAGAATTAAGTCTCTCTCTGTGACACACGTACACGGGCATACCTATTTGAATGAAGTTCAGAGTCTAGTACGTGGTACACGGAAAATCCTCAGCCAACTACTGTCACTGCTGTCATTCGCTCACCCCACCACCAACCCGGGAATACAGGCACCCACCCATTCGTTTAACAAAGACACGTTCAGTGTCCCACTCTGTCTCCGACGCTGTAACAAACCCTGGGGACACAGGACCGAGTAAGATGGGCAAGGTGCTCGTTCTTACGGTGCTTGCGTTCTGGAGGGTCAACAGGTCTTACAGATAAGGTGATCTCTGATTACAAAAGGGGCAAGGACAAAAATAAGTTGAACGTGATAGATTCTCGTTCTGGGTCAGAACACAGGGGGCAGGTGTGGGAGACGCAACATGAATCAGGTTGTCGCGGACAGTCTCCAAGACCTGCATGAAAATAAATCAGCCACGCAAAGATCTGGGATGGGGAGAGAACGGAGGGGCACGCAAGGGCAAAGGCCCTGACTTCGGGTTGTAACACCTCAGCATTCTTATCTGTGACACGGGACTAATGATGACTTACTGAGAAAATTAACTATCAATTCTTACTGACAGGCTAGGACACGCCAGGCACTGTCCCAGGTATCAGGGATACTCATCACTGGCATGTAATAAGCACTTAATAAATGCAAACCATTACAGTCACTGTAATTATTTCTTCCCTGTAGCTAGCACAGCCCTGAAGCAGTGTAAGCCTAAGTGATTTACTGGCTACACGAACCAATACTACAGGCCAGGGAGAGAATACACTAAATAGAGTCGCTGGGAAATTCCCCCACCCTTAGGAAAAAAACATCTCTGGGGGAAAGCAGCCACGGCGGAGGGGCCAGAATGGGCATTTGTCAACACCGTGGTATGACGAGTAAGGAAGATCAGGAAAGCAGGCCTTTGGGAAGGGAGCTGGCATTGCCATAAAACAATAAGAAACCAAACTTTTATTCACCTGGAGCTCTGACGTCAACAGACCGGGGGTTACTCCTTTCTCTTCTACGCAGTTCTCTCTGAGAAAGGCACAGTCCCAAGAAGGCAAGGCCATGAAATAAAAACGAGCCAGGAGATAACATGATTTTATCCCAATTCCCAGCTACACAAGGAGAAAGTTCTGAGCACCAGCTGAATGTAATCTAGCCTTCCTGGAATCTACTCCTACCCCCAGGAAAGAGACCTCCTCCCTACAGGGCTCAGAGGGTCCACACCATTCTTACTGCGGGCCTTATCCACAAGCCTGCATTCACTGTAGCTCCTAGGAGACCATCAGATGGCCAACAGATACCTGAAACGATGCTCGACATCGCAAAACATCAGGATGATGCACATCAAAATGGAGAGACCACCTCACCCTTGTCAGAAGGGCTAGAATCAAAAAGACAAAGCAATAACAAGTGTTGGTGAAGATGTGAAGAAAAAGGAACCTTGGGACACTGTTGGTGGGAATGCAAACTGGTTCAGCCACTGCGAAAACAGCGTGGAGGTTCCTCAAAAAATTAAAATTAGAAATGCCATATGATCCAGTAATTATCCAGTAAAATATCCAGTAATACTACTGGGTATTTACTCCAATAAAACAAAAACACGAATTTGAAAAGATCTAAGCACCCCTGTGTTTACTGCAACACTATTTACAAGAGCCAAATTATGGAAGCCACCCAAGCGTCCGTCAATAGATGAATGAATAAAGAAGATGTGATACATATATATATATAATGGAGCATTACTCAGCCATAAAAAAGGATGGTATCTTGCCATTTGCAACAACACGGATGGACCTAGAGGGTGTGAAATGAATCAGAGAGAGACAAATACCATACGATTTCCCTCAGATGTGGAATGCAAGGGGGGGAAATGAACAAAGAAAAAAAGAGACCAAAAAC